TCAGCAGTTGCCCAGGGTATGTACAGATCCCTCTTTGTGAGGGCTGAACACAGATAGAAGTTGGTGTCCCACCTCTTTTTCCTTCAAAAACTCACCAATATCTCCAAGGTGGACAAGGCAGTGCTGGCAGATGTAAGAGCAGGAGCTAGACTGCGGCTTCACTATGGCGCTGGTGTGCGTCTGTTTATTGCTAATGATTCCCAGCTGGGAAGACTTTACACGACATGGCAAGTCTACATTAAAAACTGTGCACAATTCCTGTAATAACTAGAAAAACAAGTCTAGTTAGTAGCAGCTAGAGACAGTAATCAGAAAAGCACTGAAACAAAAGACAAAGCTATCAGAGCATTACTTGGAGGCATGGATTAGCTAAACATATTTGAAGTGAACAAGCCTAGGTTACTGAAAGCTAGAACAAGTCCAGAGGAGGTCACCAGGATGATGCGAGGGCTGGAGCAGCTCTGCTGTGAGGACAGGCTGAGAGAGTTGGGGCTGTTCAGCCTGGAGAAGAGAAGGCTCCGGGGAGATCTTATAGCGGCCTCCCAGTACCTGAAGGGGCTACAAGAAAGCTGGGGAGGGACTTTTCATAAGGACAGTTAATGACAAAACAAGGGGAAATGAGTTTAAGCTGAAAGAGGGGAGGTTTAGATGAGATATTAGGAAGAAATTCTTCACTGTGAGGGTGGTCAGACACTGGAACAGGTTGCCTAAGGAAGTTGTGGAAGTGGTGAAGGCCAGGTTGGATGAGGCTTTGAGCAACCTGGTCTAGTGGAAGGTGTCCCTGCTGCTGGCAGGGGGGTTGGAACTGGATGAGCTTTAAGGTCCCTTCCCACCCAGACCAGTCTATGATTCTATGACTTTAAATTACATTTTCCATATGGAAGTCATTGAGCTCCATGCTGCATTATTCTGCCCAGAACCATGAAGAGAATTTTTACTTCTCTGTAAGAAAGAGCTGTGCATCCCAAACCACTAAGCAACTCGATTCCCATGATACTTAAATTACCAAGTGTGCATCAGTGGATATTGACTGTCAGAGGTGTCCAAATCTTGTTGGGTTTGGTGGTTTTGTTTGTTTTGTTGGGGTTTTGGGAGGGGTTTTTTGTTTGTTTTTTTTTTAAGTAGGACACTCAAGAGGCACACAGTCTTTTTTTATACCCTGATGAAGTGACACCATTCTTTGAAAATAATAGAAAGGAATGCCACTTGTCCTCCAAAGCAGCTTGTTCCAACATAAGAAACAGCACTATCCCGACTTAAACTTCAGAGAGAAGCTGGAACAAAATCAAGTTTGCATGCAATGCAAGGCTACAATGGTTCATTGGCTGAGTTGTCAGTAAATATTTGTGCTATGCTAACAGTTAGACTCTTTCAAAGAACAAGGCATGGGCTACTTGATCAAATATCTCAAAAGTTGATTGAAGGAAAACCTGAACTTTGCCATTCTAATTAGTGCTTTTGGAGTTTTTCCTAATGGACTCCAGCAAACACTCTAGAAAGTAACAGTAACCACGTAGCGATGAAAAGTGTTTGTTCTACCCTGTTACAGGGTTAAAAATGCAAGTAAGGATTGACAGGCTTTCTCCCAGTTAGGAACATAACCAGCCTCCAAATAAAACAGACCTGCAGCAGGGTTCCACTTCCAGATACAGGCAGATAGGAAGCCCAGGGCAGACAGAGACACAAGCTCTGTCAATGGCTAAACACGCGATGCGGCGCTTTTGCTTGCTGCAGAAAAAGCATCGTGTTACACCTCCCTCCCCTTTTGCTCTGACTTTTATACAGTAGATAAAAATCCCCAAGCAAGAGGGATCTCACAGATGAAAGCTGGATAAAAGAGAGAAACCTGACATCTTCCCAACATGCTGAATTAGTAGAATTCATGCTCTCTTTCAAAGATGTCATTTACACAGGCCTCGCAGTTGGAGAGCAGGTATCTTGCCTGAGCAAAATCTTTAGACTAAAAATGGGACAGTTAACGTCACCACAAATAGAGAAATACAACCCAGTCTGTGGTGTCATACACAAAAAAAGCAAAATTCCCTGATATACTGCAGGGAAGAACAAGGCTTTTGCAAGACAAACAGTGGAGATGGTAGAAAACCCTTGGCAACCATGCCACAGCGCATCAAACCGGCTGCTTCAAATAAGAAGCTTTCCAAAAAACAATGCTGAAGGGGTTAAAAAAAAAAAAAAAGAAAAAAAAAAGAAAATCCCACAGATTCTGTAAAAAAACAAAAAAAAAACAAAAAAAACAAACCTTGGAGTTGCCTTGCAGATGTTCAGAATCAAACTAGGAACCTAGTAAGAATGACCTACTGTGCATGTTGTAACCTGAAGACAGTGCAAACTAGCCACGACAGAAAGCCTAGGCAGACCACTGCTTGAGAGAAGGTAATTCAGCAGTGACAATGTTGCTGGACACCAAACCAGGAGAAAAAAGGAATGAAAGACAAGTTATCTTTATTAATGCCATTATCACACGCTGACTCTTATTCTCCAGAATCTACAAGTCGAAATCTAACATTGGAAAAGGAGCATGGGCAAAAAATTGTCAGTAAAGAATGAATACATGAATAGTAATCACATCCCTTTTGCAATTAACTGAAAACCTCGCCAAAGATACTTAGCTCAAGAGGACTCAACAACAGGGAAGAAAAACTCCTGCAACTGAAGTTTGCAATTCTAAATAACCCTTGACAAAAATACAGAATTAAGACTGAAGATGTGCTTGTAAGCCTTGCTAAAAAGCTTGCTGAATAATACAGCAAGACACTACGCACTGTAAATGCTACACAGTACTCTTGGGGACAACCATCCTACTTAAATGCACAACTGTGGTGGGCACTGAGTCAGGTATTATTCAGGAAAAAAGTTGTATTCAGATATGTATATGTAGTATGTACATAGTTGAAAACACTAACTCAACACTCACCACCAGCGTTAGGAGTTACAAGGAGGGGACAAAGAACAAAGCACAAAAACATTAAGCCATCACACACACCCTCAGTACATGTGCACTTTGGAATTGTGCACCTAGTTCTGTTCTTGAATAACTGAAGCCAAGAAAAAAACACTGAACATCTTTGCTTATCCTTTGTTACATAGGAAAAGTCTCACATTTTTCAAAATGAAAAGGAATTATGACAATGGCTCACAAATTCATATACAGCCATGAGAAGGTGAATGGGAATTTTTACAAAAATGGCAGAAAAAAAACAAACTAAGAGTACAGTGAAATAATCAGTTAATGTGCTTGCTGGGCTTGTGGTTTCTTTCTGTCGTTACTCTTAAGACACTACAATTAAAATACAGAATTCTTTAGCACAGATCACTGCATAGACCAGAGTAAACAGCTTCGAGAGGGACTGGAGAGTCAGTGAAGGCCAGACCTCCCAACAGCTGGATGATTCAGATACAAACTAGCTCAAGAAGACAACAAATGTCCAGCTACAAAGCAAGAGTCTAGAGCAAGAAAGTATCATTCTACATTTTCCTGCTGCTTAATGCTGGCTCTGAGCAGTCACAGAATCACAGAACCATTAAAGGCTGGAAAAGACCTCTGAGATCATCCAGCCCAACCATCAACTCATCACCACCACATCCACTGAACTATATCCCTGAGTGCTACATCTACACATTTCTTGAGCACCTCCTCCAGGGATGGGGACTCCACCACTGCCTGGGCAGCAGACTAATGTAAGAGACAAAATGTGGGGCTAAAGGGACCTTTGATCTTCAGGTTCTTTTAGGCTTTAAAGCAGATTCTATTAGAAGGGAACTCAAATTGTTGCCATGTTTTTATGGTGCACCAAACCAACTACCAGATTAGCAGAAGTCTGAGATCAACTCAAGTGTGCAGCTGATGGGAAGAAAGCACATCACCAGCTTTGTAGAGATGTTCTACTGAAAGCATTTGCATTAGCAAGGTACACTGCTTGGTCCAGTACAGCAAGAGTTTCTCGTGCTAAGGGAAAAGAACAGATTTTACCCACCTAAAACCAATCCTGCCCCCTTCCTCAAAGGGATTACACCCTGGTATGATAATGGAGCTCATCTCTGAGGAGCAGTTGCAGGAGCAGCACAGGAGAAGTGACAGCCAAAGCTTTGTGAAGGACACACATGCAAGCAGTGTAATGCTGAAGCACACCTGCTTACAGACCACGCAAATACACCCCAGCCCATGTATTCTTTGCAACTCACCTGTGTGTAGAAGCCACTAGCTGCCTCTAAGAACAGAGAAAGGTTCGCCTGAACTTCGCTCCGATTTGGATTTGCTCTATTTTTCGCCTGACCCTGTAGCGTTGTGATCTGATTTTTAAAGGCATGATTCCAACTGAAAACAAAAGAAGTGTTTTCCTTTTTACTTTGGAAGTGTCTTATGCAGATGACATAAGCAACAGGAAAGAACTGTTTAATTATATAACATCAGACAAGGACACGAAGAATGTTCAAATCCAGGCAACATTCAGATTAGAAATAACATTAAATGTGGAAGAACTATCTTTCCTCACCTCTCATAACTAGGGAGATAGATCCTGACACTATAGAGCTAACACTGAAACAGCATTAATATCTGCTTGTAATTGTTCTGTTTCAGGCAACACAGTCTGCATCTTAAGTAACAGGGAATGGACTCAGGGCATGGAGAAAACCCAGCAGGATCTTCCCCTGATTCTTAATGTGCTATGAACACCTCAGTTCTCTCCTTGTATTCTTCCCTCTACCCAACCTTACCTCAGAGGGCTTAAAATTAGGGTCTTTAGAAGCTACTCAACTCCTGTTAGACCTTGCTCAAAGCTCCAGGTGATTATTCCTCCTCCAATTTCCTCTTTTATAGAAAGGCCAAACATCAGTCCTTCCCTGACAGCAGGGAAGACTGATGTGGACCAAAGGAAATGGCAGGAAGATGTGGCAGGGGAGGGTGAGGTTGACCATGAGGAAAAGGTTCTTGAGGCAGAGGGTGGTGGAGCACTGGAACAGGTTCCCCAGGGAGGTGCTCATGGCACCAAGCCTGGCAAGATTCCAGCAGCATTTGGCCAAGGCCCTCAGGGACATGGTCTGAATGTTGGGATTGTCCTGTGCAGGGACAGGAGTTGGACTCCATCATCCTTGTGGGTCCCTTCCAACTCACAACATTTGATGATTCTATGTTTCTTAGCTCTCTCTCTTCCATCTGGCTCATGAAAACCTGCTCCTGCATGACAGGGCTGCTCCTAAATTGGCAAAGGTACAATATTAATCTACTGAATGCTCTTCATCAGCTCTGCAGTCCATGCTTATGTTTCACCCACAGCACAAGTCTCATTTTAAAGGAAGACAACCATTTATAGGATACAACAGCTTTTCTGGAAGTCTCAGGGTTTCCTGCTCATCAGCTCAGAGGACATATATACACATAAATTTTTTGAGGTACTTACAGGTCCTGCTCCACTTTTTTATCTAAAGCATATTCCAAATCGGTCACTAGCATTTTCTGATATAAGTCCTGTAGAGCCTGTCTGGATGTCCAGACTTCTGCTGGACCCAGCTTCGAATCTGAGCAACAAAAAGAAAAAACAAAGACACAACAGTTTTTGTAATACTCAAATCTCAGAATTACTCTGATTTTTCACACACCTACCAAATGAAAGAACATAGCACAATGTAAGATATCCAATGCCAAACACCTGCTTTTATCACAGATTCATCAGAACAGTGAAGTACAGAGAGACTGGAGATTAACTGATCACTGATTAACTGATCAGTCTCCTACAAGACCAGAACTAGACACGAGCAAAGTCAGCAGCTGGCAAGTTAAAAATAAAAAAATAATTTAAAAAACCCCCAAAACCAAAACAAAAAACCCAACAAAAACCAAAAAACAGATAGAAGGAGGTGATTCTCTCTAAGTCATTCAGCTGCAGAACTTCTTGCCACTGGATGCATTCAGAAAAAATTCCAAAGTAGCCTGAAAAAACTAGCAGAAAATAAATCCATCAGGGGATGCTAAAGAGGCCAGTCCTTGGAGCCAACACTGCTAGTATTTAGGTGAGCGGTGTGGGCAAGTACTACTGCACGCTTGCCATTCTGTAGCTATTTGGTAGCCATCTGCTTTCCAGCACTGAGGGTGAATGCAAACACTGCTCCCTGCTATCTGGAGTTACAGAGCCCAACTTCCCACGCCTTGTAAAATTACCTGTGCTAGGGCTGCAGGAGCACAAGGGATGTGCCTCACCCCAGGGAAAGGGTTCTGCTGATGGTGTAGCTACTCCTGCTGGGTTAGATGGATCCAGGCAGTTATGATGTTCCTACAGGGACTACACCAACCTGCTACGGGGACTACACCAAGGTGGTAAGCATGGCTGAGTGCAATTTCATTATGCAAGAGGCCTGTACTGCACGGCTGATACATTAATATAAACCATTTCCATAAATACATACAGCTTAAAACACAGCTTGTAGCATTTCACAGCATCTCCAGGCTGTACTTTCATCATACACAAGGTAGCGTTCAGATCAACATTTCCATCACCCAGGCTTCTCAAAACCAGATCCTTGCTAAATCCCAAGTACAGCAGTTCCTGTGGCAGTCTGGACAAGAGTGTCTGGGAGAGGAGCAAGGATGTGACCTCCATCTCCAAATGCTTTAAAACACCCAAAGTCAACTTTAAAAATACATATATTTTAGATATAGGAAGGGCACAGTTGATAAAAAGCTATTTATTTATACACAGAGGGCAAACCTTTAACATAGTATAACACACTTTCCAGAGAATTCTTAGGAATTATAGGCATAAGGAACACAAAAGAAAAACAAAAACAGAAATCAAGAATTGGCAGCTAGATCAACAACTGTATAATAAAGGCAATTACCTGTCATGTCAGCCTTCAGGACTTCTGCCTGCCTGTAAGAAAGAAATAAAACAATAAATTAGAAACAGACTGACCAAAATAACTGAATTATGCTGAAGCAGATTGATACAACAGTGAGTAAAAGTGGGGCCAGCTCCGTAGAGGCTGCTAGAGTTTACCCCATGAAGTATGGATCCGAGCTACTGTTGTTTAACAGTACGAGTTCTTCCAACTTATACCATCATAAAAGTCAACTGTTCACTTTTCCCTTCTTAGCTGAAGTTTCTTTCAGAAAAAAAAAACAACAAAAAAACAAAAAACAAACTAAAAACCACTTACACTATATTTTAAGCTTTAACTGGCATCAGTGCCCTGCCAACATTAGTGATACTTGCTTACCTGTAACTGGGGATTTGATATTAACTTTAAATTAGCCAACACAGTCAGAGCAAAGCAAACTCCTATCGCTTCCTGTCAGCACATTGCTACAGCCCTCCTGCCCCTCCATGCTGCACTAGCTTCCTTTAAGGAAAGGCAATAAAAAGACTATGGCTTTCCCAAATAACTCTCTTCCTTGAACTGCCTCCCTAAAGTCATGGTTTGATAAGGTTTTCAAGAAAAAAAAAAATACAGAAAGAATGGCAGCTACAGGTGATCAATTACCACTTCACTGAATATCCTCCACGAATCCCCACTGCTGGTGCAGGCTGGCAAATAAGTTTCTGAAATAGAGGAACACTGGGACACAGTCCTCAATAAATACATATTTATGAATGGTCATCAACGGCTGTAAGTGCAGGGAATCGAGATGCTACAGTTAAGCACGGTGTCAGCAGGACATAAAACTTCAAGGGGCAGCACTGCTGGTCTGTCTGACTGACACAGAATTAACACAGGGCAGGCAGAGGCAGAAGGGACACTGGTTTGGCTGGGTTTTGGTGGAACATGTCCCTTTGCTTTTGCTACACTCAAATGTTTACATATATTTGCAAAAAGTGCAAGTTTTCCATACCAGATGTGGAATCCTCCTAGCATATGAAATACATACTTCCACCTGCCTCCTTCAGCAAAATACTAGATGTTAGTTGCACTGTGACTAACAGGAAAGTCAGATGCCAGCTTGGGAAAGAATGGAGAGCCAGGAGAAAGCACCACCTACTCCCTAAAGAGTCCTCAGAAACAAGCAGATACTCTCTCTTGCTAACGTGAAGTTGTGGTGACTGTAAAATAGTTTTTTCAGGTTGTTCTGGGTTCTACCTACTGGCCACAAATTATAGGGAAGCAATATAGTGCCAGTGCTTCACTGGGAAGATATACACTGGTAAGTCCTTTCACTAAATTTCTATTTATTAAATGCAATAATTATTTATAGCAACTCACCATAGTGCGACATCCAAGAAGCAACAGGATGCTCCAAGGGCTTTAAGTTAAGAATATCTTAACTGGTGCCAGAAGTAAATCTGTATGCTCCTCACCCGCTTCACAAAATTTAATCTATTTAAGATAACTTTTTTTAGTTTAGTTCTTCCAGAAGGCGTTAACATAGTTTTTCAACTCTTAACAACAAGGGAAGAAGAGATAACCTGTTATTACTGACACACAAGCAAGGAAGAGTTTGGCTATCATGTCAGAAGAAAGCTGAAAGCCCAAGAATCACTTCTGCCTTGTTCACGTGGAGATAACGAAAGGTGCTTCAGCTGTGTGATTTCGTTTAGGTTCCTGCTTTGGCAGGGGGATTGGACTGGATGATCTTTTGAGGTCCCTTCCAATCCCTAATATTCTGTGATTCTGTGATGTCCTCCCCATCAGGGCAGCTGGGAGGATGGGGAATAGCTGATCTTTTCCCCCGTACATCTAAGAGCAGCAGACAGCCAGCAATCTCCTCGGCGTGATGTTCCCGATGCGACGCTGACCTGTAAGTCTAGTTGAGCAGGAAGCTGAGCCAATTCTGCGCTGCTGTGACTTGGCAGCTCGGATGCCGCTGCTCAGAAGGAAAAGCTGACTCACTCAGGTGCACTAGTCTCTCCTTTTTTTTTTTGAGCAGCCAGCCAAGTTAATACAGTTTGGCTCACACCCTGCCAGTTGTGCAAACTTTTTCTTTGAGCTGAGAACATGATTTACGTTGCCAAAGCCGTGAATCCTACAGAGAGGCTCAGCCCGAGCAGGACGCGCAGTCCTACTCCAGCAAACAACAGCCTCAAATTCTCCTCCAGGCAAAAAAGCTCTGCCCTTTAAAAGACAAGAACTGCTCCTCTGAAAAGGACTTGTGCAGAACTACCTTCCACTATGTTAAGTACCGATCTTTTCAGGGGGAAATACAAATAGCACCACTATAAAGGCTTTATTTTCAGAAAGTTTTGACCAGCTGTTGCCTGGAGAATTCAGAAGGCGACAGCCTCAACCCCTACCTCAGTGCAGCTGGTGAGAGATGCTCTGCAAATGCACAGCCCTAATGATATGGCTGGACCTGACCTTTGACCAAAAAGATTTGGTTTTTTTTAGAACATCTTTTTTGGAAGACAATAGTCATGGGCTTACAGAAGGAGAGCCTTAAAGAAAATGGCCTACTAAGGCCTCCTACTACTAGGCCCCCTAAAGTGCCTACAGAAGGAGAGCGTTAAAGCCAATCTCTTCACTAGCCATAAAGCAAACTTCCTTTTATATGCCATAAGCTTGCAACAAGCTACACTAAGGGAATTATCACTACAATTTTTAATACAATATTTAGAAGTTATTGCAATAGTTCCTACAGGCTGAAGGAATTAATAAAGTATGTCTAACATTAGCATACTCTGCTTCTCACTTCCACTTAAAACCAACTTTTATTTAAAACAGCTGCATCTACCTTGGCTAAGCCAGGACAAGAGAGGGCAGCCTGGGTACCAAACTTTTTCTACATCAGTGGCAAAATATTAACATCTCGAGAGAAAAGATGCATTGCCTTGAACAGACTTCACTGGAGAGCTTTTGCTGGTGCCCAGAGAGTCCTACTGACCACAAATTGGAGTTCACGGGTAACAGCAAAAGTGCAAATGGTTCCTCATACCGTCAAGCATCTTTGAACAAACCTTTTTGTTCCTCTATTTTCTCCCACCGCCTCATATTGAATTTGCATTAGAATGACTCATTCTGGTGCAAAAATACACTCCCTGCCAGCAAACTTGGTACAACTCACTTACACGTTTTATTATTTCAAGAATGTTCTCAAGTGCCTCTTTGCCCAGTTGGCCTCAGAGGTCCAGTCTTCCAAGTTTCCCCAAGTGTGTTGGTCTAAAGCCAAATAAGCACAAACCATAGTTCAAAAATTATATTTCAAGCATCTCTGTTAGATCATCTATCATCTTTATGGATTGTGAGAGCTATTCTTCATAATTTCCTAACCAAATATAAATTCGGGCTGTGCTTTAGTTCAACTCAAAACTCAAACACAAAAAGCCTTCCACTCAATTCAGTGAGATAGTTTGACAGCTAAAGGAACTTTCATTTTATTCAAACACATGAAATGTTTCAAAACTTTTAAAAGACAATAGTCAGGACTTTCTTTTCAAGTTCTGAAGGTATAACATATATTAAAATTTAAGTACCACAGGTAGCAAAGGAAACTTTTCTTCTCTGAAGAACCTGGCAGTATATCAAGTCCTCTTGCTGTAAAACTCAGAGGAACTCAGACACTAGGTGTAGCCTGGAATGAACCACCAGATTTAGCAAAAGAAGACAAGACAGATGCATTTAATTTTTCCATTTTTTGGTTTTTACCATTCTTGACCAATTAAGTTCTCCCTAAGCAGAAAAAAAAAGAAAACAAGTTGTTCCCCTCAAGCAGGTAAACACTACAGAAATCAAAACCCAGCAATATAGGGATATGTCTCCAATATACATTGTCCAGTGTTCAAACCATCACATTGAGAGGCTGAAAGGTACATCAAAAGATCATGTAGTCCCACATTTACACTAGGACAAATTTGCTTCATTTGCATTTAAAATCCTACAAAAAAAAGATATCATCATACCACCTCCTTGTGTAACTATCTAGTGATAGTCCAGAAGTTTGTTCTGAAACACCAGTGCCATGTGGAGCTGCTCATCACTGCCTGTGTACAACAGCCACCCTCTGAACCATCAGTGCTCTCTTCCAGGCTAGAACAACCTTCATAAATTACGTTTTCTAATCCTCTTATTGCCACCTGACTTTGAACTCCAGTCACGTATCACTAAACCAATGGATCTATTTTACTGGTTTTTTTACAGCTTATCTCTGTTTCAATATTTCTTCTTCAGTTCTGTTATAATTCCAAGCACGTGTAACAAATTTTCAGTTCTGCAGACACCACGCTGCATCTGCCATATCCGTATTACAGAACCACGATTTTGATAACAAGCTTCAATGTCAAGTATAGAAAAGCAAATAAAATTAAAGCCCAAGTTTTCAAAGCAGTGGTTTACCCAGATAAAACCCACTACTTCTAAAAGTCTGGTCAAAGTCAAGCTTCACTCACACCACACTCTTCATTTACACAGCAAAGAGGAGCCAGGTAAGATCTGCTCTGCCATGACAAGTCCTACAAAAAAAACGTGGAAAAACCCTGACCTCACAGAAAAACCCACTGAACACAACACTCTGCTCTCCACCAGGGCTGAAGGGGAACTCCACTTGGTTTTCCCCTGGCAGCCCTGAAGCATCAGCAGCTGTATCAGTTCCCTTATCTCATCTCCATAACACAAACCCTCCCGATAGGGAATTGAGAATTTTCAGTACTAAAATGGGTAATTAGACAAGGTAGCTGGGCTTATAAAAGCAATCAGAATCCAATCACTTGTTCTGTGAATACTCTCCAAACTAAAAAACCATATTAAATGGTCAGGGTGGTTTTACTCCCAGCAGGAA